CCAACCTTATAAATAGTCATGGGTTTATTCTCTTTTGCCTGGACCTTGTATGCCTCTCTATGTCTTCCTTTCCCTTAGTGTTACTGTGTTAACCACTCGGAATATTGCCTTTTCCCTTTATCCAAATCGGTACTTCTCTCTAGCTGTCTAGCAGTTAGTGATTGACTTAATTTCACTCAGCAGAATATCATCCCAAGTTCATCCACATTATGAGGTGTTAATAGGCACTTAGGTTGTTTCCATCTCTTTGCTGTTGTGAATAGTGCTGCACTGAACTTGAGTGTGCATACATCTGTTCATGTCCTGGCTCTCACTTCTTTAGGATATATACCTAGTAATGGGATTGCTGGATCAAATGGTATTTCTACTTCCAGCTTTTTAAAAAGGAATTGCCATACTGATTTCCACAGTGGTGGTATCATTTTACACTCTCACCAACAGTGTATGAAACTCCCAATGTCTCCACATCCTCGCCAGCGTTTGTTATTTTCTGTATTGTTGAACTTTACTGTTAATGCTAGGGGATCTCATTGTTGTTTTGATTTCCATTTCTCTAATAGCTAATGATCGCAAACATTTCTTCAAGTGTTTGTTGGTCTGAATGTCTTCTTTGGTGAAATGTCTGTTCATGTCTTCTGCCCATTTTTTAATTGGATTGTTTGTCTTTTTGATGTTGAGATAAGTCCCTTGTCAGATATGTCATTGTAGAATACTTTTTACTCTTTTGGAGAAGTCTTTTGAAGTACATAAAAATTTAATTTTTAAAAGGTCCCAATTGTCTAGTTTATCTTCTGCTGTTTGTGCATTTTGAGTTATGCTCAGTAGTCTGTTTATGACATAAACTAGGGCCCCTGAGTTTGCCCTTATTTTTTCCTTGACGAACTTCATAGTTTTAGGTTTCACATTTAAGTCTTTGATCCATCTGGAGTTTTTGCCTGTGGTTTGAGGTATGCATCTTGTTTCATTTTTCTGCAAATGGATAACCAGTTTGCCAGCATCATTTGTGAAAGAGGCTGTCTCTTCCCCATTTAATGTATTTCAGCCATTTGTCAAAGATCAGCTGACCATAGGTGGATGAATCTATTTCTGGGTTCTCAATTCTGTTCCAGTGGTCTGTGTGTCTGTCTCTGTACCAGTACCAGGCTGTTTTGACTACTGTGGTTGTATAGTAGGTTCTGAGATCCAGGAGTGTGAGACCTCCTACTTCATTTTTTTTCTTCAGTGGTCCTTTGCTTATCTGAGGTCTCTTCCTTTTCTATATGAAATTAGTGGTTGGTTTTTCCATATCCTTAAAGAATGTTGATGGAATCTAACTTGAGATTGCATTGAATGTATAGATTGCTTTGGTTAGTATTGACATTTTCACAGTGTTCAGTGTTCCTATCCATGATCATGGTATGTTCTTCCATTTACATAGATCTCTTATGGTTTCTTGAATTAGTGTTTTGTAGTTTTCTTTGTATATGTCTTTTGTGCCCTTGGTAAGATTTATTATTAAAGAGTACTTTGTAATAGTTAATATTGAAGAGTATCAACTTTATCATTTTGATAATGTTAACAAAGGAATGAACTTAGGGTGATTCTAAATCAGAGACAAACATCAGAATTACCTGCAGCGCTTTTTAATGATACACATTCATGAGCTTCCTCCTCAGAATCATTCATTAAGTCTGGAATTGGACCCCGGTCATTTTAGCCTCCATAGATGATTCTGATGTGAACCCTCTGTTGCCATCCACAACTTGAGTTGTGAATTTCTGTTTTTCCCTGATTTTGAGGTGCTAATAAGAAATTAAAGTATCTTTAAGACAAAAAATTCCAAAATCAGCAACTGAAAAAAGTTCAACAACAGAAGGCAAATTAATATTCCTAGTGGTGCCAACAGTTAAGCAAACTGTTAACAGCTTTAGTTAGCAGCTACTAACTAAAAAGATTGGCAGTTTGAACCCACCCATGAGAAGAGATCTGATGATCTGCTTCCATAAAAATTAAAAAAGAAAAAAAAAAAAACATTGGTGTGGAGTCATTTCTGACTTATAGAACTGCCCTGTAGGGTTTCCAAGTCTGTAATCTTTAATGGAAGCAGACCACCACATCTTTTCCCCATGGAGTGGCAAGTGGGTTCAGACCATCAACCTTTTACATTAGCAGCCAAATGCTTAACAACTGCACCACCAGGGCTCCTCTTGTAAAGATTGTAGCCTAGAAAATCCTACGTGGCAGTTTTATTCTCACACGGAGCCACTGTGAGTCAGAATCAACTGTACATCACCTAACAACAGTAATTATAATGAAGGTTGTATGATTAAGTAGTATTTGCCTCAGGAGTTTATGTAAAGGGAATAAGGTCTTTGGAAATAATCACAGTGAATAAGGACCTTGTCTGGTTCTTTATTTCAAGTCAGCAAATGTTTCAGATGTTTTATTTAAAATAGCCCAAATGCTTAAAAAGCATACAACAGCTACTACTAAATAAAGTCTAAGATTAGGGGAGGCGGGGCAAGATGGCGGACTAGGCAGAAGGATTGCACAGACCCTCTTCAACAAAGAAAAGGGAAACCAATAAATACAGACACAGAAGATAATCTTGGACCCCTGAGCCTTGAAGGAAAGGATGCAGATTTGGACTAAACCCCAACTAGCAGAAGAATTTGCGTGAAA